TATATATATATATATATATATATATATATGATGGTTACAGCTTACGTGAAAGTACTTGCGAGTTCTAAGTTGATATCCCTAAAGCATGCGCTATGCACGCAGAAATAAAGACCGCAATCAAAAACACTTCTATCCACAGATTGTATTATATTGTAGATAAATTGTGCAGGCAACCGTGCCAACATTTCAGTCAACAATGTGTTCACGNGCTACAATGGGATAAAAAATGGAATGAAAATTCATGTACAACAACGATAAAACCTAAACAGGTGTTCATCTTTGTAGGTTTAAAATTAGTTCGTTGCGGATCTTTACCGTGTCAGTGAGAATACGAGCCAGGTAGTGAACCGTTGAGTTGCGATAAATGTTTATGCGGGAGGGCAGGCAGCGAAAATTGGATCGGCTTGTAACGTGGAAACGGCAGGCAGATAAATCGGGATTGAGCGGGTGACTGGGGTCATTGAATATCCTATGAGTGAAATTCTCACATGAAGTGAAATGCAAGTTCTACAGTTTTGTGATCAGTGTTTGAAGGAATAAGAGAAACACGGCTGATAATCACTAAACTGCGACGAAGAGTAATGAAATCCTTTCCAAGTAGTACAGGAAAAAAACGGGCGAGCAATAAAGTGTGACAGTAAAAATGCATTGATAAACAAAGGAACATACAGTTTCATGCTTTCGAAGGACAAGCGACACAGGCTAGCACATGAGAGGACCACCGTAGATTGCTATCTATGGTGACTCCTAGGTATTTAGTGGAATGTGTTCTGGTGATGGGTACGGAATTGATGACTGAGGGTTCCATGGGATATTCGGATCGGGAAAGACTAAAAATGCTTTTGAAGCATTTGGAAGTATTCAACCGGAGGTCGGAGTGGTTCGAGAATGATTGCACTTGTAATAAACTGTCGGGAAATGATTCTATGTCCGATTGGTTTGCAATGGCTTCACATAAGACTACATCATCGACATACTTAAAGGTCTTGGCTGGTGAGTCACTTATGAACGTTGAAAATAAATAAGGAGAGAGCACAGCACCATAAAGAACTCCAGAATTATGCACTAACGGTTTTGAAATAGTGCCGTTTGCTTTCGCTCTTTGAATCCTTCCTGTGAAATAATCTTTCAACCATGACAACAAGTTGATGGGGCAACCGAATGACTAACGTTTTCAGGAGAAGAGATCGTGGGACCGAACCGAAAGCGGAAGAATAGTCAAGGAAAACATAACCAACGGACTTTCGAGACTCATCTAAAATTTTGCAAATGAAGTACATTGAAGAGACAGCATCCAAAGTGCATCTATTTGGCCTTTACGCAAACTGGATGGGGAACAATAATATGAGACTGTGAGAATAACGCGCTCTGCATGTTAAAGTCCAGAGGAGGTGATGGCGATAGAACGAAAGCGTTAAGATAAAATACTAGATGAAGAGCATTTAGGAATGGATATAATGGTGAACGGAATCCAGAATGGAACATGTGTAAGTGGATTGGTTAATAAGAGACGCAAACATCTCTGTGACTGAGCCAGCGCCTTATTTGAGCATAGACGAAGATAGACCAGCGGGGCCAACTGCGTTCGTGATTTTCATAGTTTTAAGATGACAGACCTCATGGGTGACCAGGTCTATATTAAGTATATGATCTGTGGGGTACGGAGACGAGATTATTCGAAGGACAAATAAATGCAGCATTGAGGCTGTCCGCGTCAATAATTTTGTTTGTTGTCCGTTTCTTCTGTCCGCAAAGCAATCTGATCCCTTACCATAGCCGTCTTCCATCTCCCAGAACTTGCTTTGCGAACGAAATATTCAGTCTTTTGTTCTCTGCCCTGAATTGCAGCGTAAGCTGCTTGACAGTGGTTGTTTGATGCATCTTGATCGCCTGTTTTTCGTTTTCTAAGAGCTTTCAGCCGCGGAGAGCATACCCTTCCAGTGTGAACAAAAACTGTTTCCATAGGACGGCATAAATTAAAAATCACGTCAGCTGTTCCTATAAAATGTTCAACAAAACAGGAAGATTGTTGAACGGAAAACCATGAGATGATAGCAAGAGACTTTCTCAGGAGAAGTAGTCTGTCCGCTGAAAGATTCAGAGTTTTTATGTTCGTTTGTTATGTTGGAATAAACGCGGGGTATGCCAACCGAGAGTAAACATTTGGTCCAAGATATAGGAGACACTAGTCAAGATTGACACCTTCAGTTTGAGAGAAAAATTTTAGGGTGCTTATTAAAAACCTTGTCCGAAACAGCAATTTCCTCTGGTGGGTGCTAGAGAGAGATCTGACAGATCGAAAGAAAGTAAAGGTTGAATTGATCCGTGATTAAACTCACCAACAATTAAAATTAAATTATCGTGAATTAGGGGGCAATGAAAGGAATAAATGCATCACAGAAAGAGCTAATTTCAATTTGTGAACAACAAGAGGCAATGTTTCGATGGGTAATAATTGTACTCCGATAAGGGGAACACCTAGGTCAACATGAAACAGCGAGGCAGTCAATACCATAAGAGAAGAAAACAAACAACGTTTCGGACTTGCCGCACCAACTGGAGTTAATGTAGGTTCTTACCTCGTCTCCGGACTTCTTTTTGCTTCTTTCTCTCTTATCGAAAACTTGCAAAACCAAGTATGTTGACCAGCGAATCATCTATGCTTTGGTTCAGCCTCGATTCCTGTATGCATATCACATGTGTCTGTGTGTAGGCGATCAGTTAGTAGGTCCGTGAGGTCTGCCAGTTTGCTAAACAATAAGCGATTGTTGGAACCGATTAATTAGAGAACCGTCATATTCACAGCAGGAATGCATACAAACGCAGCCTGCCACCCGGCACGCGTTTCTTGCTCCGAGCAGAAAATCTAGTTCGGGTAGAACCATGTGAGTTGGATGACACAGAAGAATGATGGATATCCTTCAGGCGGAGTAATACTTCCCTGGGATACGAACGTCGATAGAACATGACAGAAACCAAGTAGTAAATCCAAATGCAACAACAAACAGTGAACTAGTTGTAAATTAGGTGTTTATCGAAAACCAGCTGAGTACTGAGCTAGTCTTTCCGTTGTTTGGGTTTCGGCTTCCTCTTTATGGAGAAAGTAGTATCAAGTGAAAATTTCCTGGTTGTTGGAATAATTCGACCGTAGACTAGCACAGTATTTTTCATCATAAAAAGTTAACTTGGGTGGTGTGCTTACAGATAAATGTAATCTTTTATTAAAATCCCCTATAATATATGAGGCTTAAGATGCTGCAGATTTCGAGCTGTTTTCTGTGATTATTCTCCAAAATGATTCGCATTAACAAATAAAGTAAACATACTACCACTTAGTGCCCACGAAAACGATGACATAGGGATTATCGAATTGGCTGGTTAGTATATCTATTGCCGTTTCTGGAGTAAGAGCATCAAATGTTTATCCCGATATCGATTTCTGTTGCTATTTCGGACGTAAATCGTTGCACTTTTATGTGGAACCCATTGCAGTTGCTCGAATCTTTGTGCACGCAGCTTCGGTACTTGTATGAGGTTTTGACTGTGTTACACCTAAAAAATCTAGGTGTTTCGCGTAGTTCTGCGTGCATTTCATCTAAACTGGTGCTAACATGCAGCTTTTTAATTGACTTATTGATCTCTACAATGGTGCTTTGGAAGTGCTGGAACCATGAAACTGTTCGTTTACATGGGATTTGCTTCAGTGTATCTGGGTTGCGTTACAATCTGGAGCATGGTCGGAAGTTTAAAGTTTCTTCTTCTTTACCGCGTTATTTGCCGTCTAATTGACTATTGCAATTTATCTACTTCTTAAAATAGATTATAGATCTGCCATATAATGATTTGTTAGCAAAATACGTAGTTTATCTTTGCAGATAAAGTACCGTTTCGGGTTATCGGTGGCTTCTTTTGTTGGCCGGTGCATCTTCTTTTATTTCTTACTCTTATTCCATCATTTTTTGCTGAATTTCTCAATACACTGTGTCCCGGTTTTCGGGTTGAACAAGGCTGATCTCGTGAACTAGTTTCCAAGCAAACATTTCATGCATCTGGTGAGTGCGCTTTTCTAATAAATGTGAAGCCGGAATCCTGGTGCTTCCCGGGTTTATGAACTAGCGGGTGAACTAAATATTCTGCTTAAAGACAAAGTATGAAGTAGGATAAGCCAGAATTAATTGCGTGAGTGAGAATCATTGAATAGAGAAATTTATCACTGAAAAAAATACAAGTCAAGTTCCCTAATCACTCCTGGAAGATAATCATTGATCGTAAATTCATTCTTGTTTGTTGATCATCCTGAACGACCTGTTTGTGTTTGAATAGGTTAGTTTGACCGATTGTGATACGTCTCAATAAGCGTAAATCAGCTCGGTGAACACTGTAGAGAATGATTGATTCAACCTGTTCCTGAACTAAAGAAGTTAGTATTGTCACCGGTCACTGTTGTATTCAAACAACTCATTCATTTCAAGATAAAATTTTGTAGTCGTTCGCACAGTTCTCCGGCGTGTTATCCACCATGAACAACCTTACTCATTCCATTTGCCGTTCAGCATTGTTGTGTGGTCAGTGATGAACTGAATCATACCAGTCTGGTTTTGGGCTGCCGATTGAGTGGTGCGACCATACGGCGATTCAAGCATAATGACATGGATGATCTGGAACGGATTTTGGAAGAGGCTGTCGTTTACGGCCAACCGCGCACGCATCGTCCCTACAAGAAAATTTTAATTGTGGTCGAGGGGATCTATAGGTGAGTATCTCTATAGCTGAGCATTTTTCCAGGAATTTCTTTCATTTTTCGATTTTATGTTGATGTGAGGTATAGCTTTCCAAATTATAGTAAGCGATTTAAATCGCAGAAGTCAGTCTACTTCATCATTCAATCTGATTTATTTTTATTAGAAAGACATTCGCTACAGTGTGAATGCCTTAAATGTAACGATGCAAACGTCTTTAGGCAAGACATGTGGGATCTGTAACGGGCAAAGGAATAGGTACTGATAATCTATCGCATTTAATCCATCCCGTTTGCACTCATATAGTGTTGAACGAACCACATTCATTCACTCAGACCTTGTTTGTGGCAGTGGTTAACGGCTCGATTGGGCATGGAGGTGTATTGGGCTCGTTGGACGTTTCACCCCACCCAAAGCGCGAGTGATCCGATGAATCGGACACCGGTCCCCAATGCATTACAGTCTTCACACACCGCCCTGTTGCCTTGTGGGTGTAGCTTTGGCTAGTCGAAGGTCGTGAATTCCCCAAAAAATTTCACCGGCCTTGACTTGGGCAACCTAGCAGCATCGCGCCTACAAACAAAGTATAAAACATTTTTCTTTTTATAAAGTGTATTGTATTATGATTTGTGTGGCATACAGTCTAGACTCAGACGTGTGTGAAGTACAAATACAACACATGTGGTGTTGAAACGTGATCATTCCCATCATACAACGAAATACGATTAAAGGAACTTCGCTCAGTGTTACCAGGCTCACTGCGTGTACATAAAAAATGCTGACGTATAAAACGGTTAGATAGTAAGCTCACTTTGAGGGATGAGTAAAAAAATTGAACAACATTCAGAGTACACCGTTGAGTTGCCTATGGAGATCTCTCCAAATATTCTGACTTAATATGGAATGATGAGGACGCTTTTACCGTCCGTCAACTATATATATATATATATATATATATATATATATATATATA